TTATTGTGCATTTAATATGTATTATAAGTAAGCAAATCGATAACGTTACGTTAAAACCATATTTCGAGAATTTAGCTAGAATTAATAATGAGTTGAATGTATAGCCCAGCTTTGATGTTTTAATGTAGGATTATCAACACTATCATTGTTTAATTTAATTTTCATTATTTGTTTTTTAATTCAATTTTTAAATTGTGGGGGAACTGTTATAGATATAGATTTGTAAAAGAAAGAAAATGTTTGATTTGTGTCTCATTGTAAAAACATAACTTTTCCGGTTGTTTAAAATGTATATCATTTTAATTCACTAAAATCCCAAATTTATTTAATCTCTACTTAAAAGCCCAGACCCCCGTCAACCCACCACGCTGATTTAAAAAAATGCATTGAATCATCATTTAATTACACATTAAGTATTACTATTGTAAATATGTATCAGTCCTCGCAAGCCGATGATGAACAATGTAATACTAAAGCGAACATGCAAGGCAAACTGACGCTGTAAATTACATGTTTGATGCGAGAAAAAAAAATTCTGGTAATATGAACACAATATAATACATAAAGCTACTTGGGTATCAACCGACCTGTCTAAAACCAGATAGACCATATATATGTATATGTATATGTATATATATATATATATATATATATATATATATATATATATATATATATATATATATATATATATATATATATATATATATATATATATATATATATATATATATATCATAAAAAAGTTCAGGAGATCACTTCAAGATGTACGTGTCAAGAGAGGAGCTGATGTTGTTTCAGACCATCACCTACTTGTTGATAAAGTGAAACTCAAACTGAAGAAAAACATGTTGGAAAACAAAAGGAAATACAGGTACGACACTGACAGAGGTGTTATTTGAACCTGTCTTTAAGCAGTTCTTTTACGAGCATTTTTTTTCGTTTCAATAATAAACCGTCAAAAAATAGTATACACTACTGCAAAAACAACACCATATACACCAACTAAAAATAATAATCATAGCAATACAATTGTCCCCATCATTGCACTCTAAGAATCATTTGTTTACGTTGAAGACAAAACCAAACTCCTACATATAAACTTTTCATTATCTCATGTATTCGTCTTTCACTCACAATCATTTATTTTATTGTATTTGCTGCAGGTGTTTAAAAAGTGCAGTTCATATCTTAAATATAACGTTGAGTTGTATGTATACTTAATTATGTGATATACAAGGCAAACCAAAGTGCTGGTCTTAAGGGGAGGCTCCGGTAAAAAAAAAAAAATTAATATTCTTTAGAAAATAGTTATTTTTTTACAGCTTTGTTAAGATACATCCGCATATGCAATTCCACTAAAATCAAATCGTGGAAATATCTTGGTAACCATGACAACGGCGGCCATCTTGAAAAATTAACACCATTGTAGGTTTTTCCATTATCCATAAAATATTATATGTTATGCCCAATAAACAATGAATTCGTAATCTTCTTCCATATTTTGGGGCACTCAGCTAAAATATTTAAGTGCATATCTTCAAAATAATTATGAATTTTCTAAATTTTGGTCCTTTCAAAACACTTCATTTTGGGGAATTTTGGGGCATTAAAACTAGTGTTTTTAACGAACCCACATTTTGAAAATTCATAAAGTTGTATATATATATATATATATATATATATATATATATGTATATATATATATATATATATATATATATAATTATTATCGTGACAATATTCTAAAAAAATGCGTTTCTATGAAAGATTTTAGCGACACAAAATAACCTACCCTTTAGCTAATAAGTATTTATGATTTAAACACTTTATATAGATACATAGTCATGTGTACATTATTGAATATTCAATAATACTGTAACAACGCGTATTTGCTGAGGTGACAATACGTTGTAATTGCGAGTTCTTTCTTCAATAGAGACGATGAACAATTCTATTTCGATGATCGGACCGGTTGGTATTATTAGTGTCATCGGAAATTAGAGTGTTCCCGTCCGCATCACATGTATATAGTTGGAGTGTTAGTAATAGAAGTAGTCATCATTCAAATTAAACGCTTTTAAGAAAAGCGGGGACGGAGTGATCGAACAGTAGAGAGCTGGACTGCCTACTCTTAAGTATCGAGTTCCAATCCGGGTTCAATCAGTAAACCGTCCCTGAGTAAAGGCGGCTGGGCGTAGTACTGACCACACTTGATTCCCGTAATAGTTATATAGAATTACCATGTTTTTATGATGTAAACATGTTTTTCAAAAACCCATTTTTATTACTTTTAGTTTCTTCCTATTAGCATTATAAAATACTTAAAAGGGAAACAACCTTAATTATTTGAGATACAATTATGTGGAAATTAATTCTTATAAGACTGAATATGACATTTAATGTTTGATATTACAGTAAGAGTAAGTTTTAAATTAAATGTATGAAAGTCTGTCATAAATATAAGTTTCATGGAGATTAGATTTAACAAGTGTCACAACTTTATTTAGAAAACTTTTAGCGTAATTTAATCTAATATTAGAAGACACTTGAACACTTCAATTAATACCTACACCACGAATCAAATTTGCCGGCGGCTTAATATGCCATATTTTGTATTCACTTTAAAAAATGGTACATTCTGAATTGTGACAACAGCATTCAGTGGACAAGGTGGCAAGGCAAACCAACTCGGTAAATTACATGTCTGAGCCTAAGAAGTTTGTTTGTTTACTACGGTAGTTCTTAACGGCCTAGATCAGGGGTCTCCAAACTACGGCCCGCGGGCCTGATACGGCCCGCGAGGTCATGTTATCCGGCCCGCGACGATCTTTTTGTCCACTGAATAAATGTTTGTTGGAGGTGGCTGAGGAGCTTTGCACAGAAAATTCAAAACAATTTTAAAATGTAGCTTTGGGTGCAAATACAATTACTCGCCGTGTTGCAGACATTGGTGAAAACAATGCGACTAAAATAGCGAAAAATTCAAGCAAGTTTCGCTATTTTTCAATTGCAATAGATGAGTCGCTGGACAGGTGTTCCACCTCTCAACTGCTTATGTTCATTAGAGGTGTGGATGAAGACATGAACATAATACAAGCGCTGGCTTCCCTACATATAATGTATGACACTGTTACCGAAGAGGATATCTAACCATAGATAGTTTAGAGACAAACACAAAATCGCAAGATTTACCATATTTCACATCAGTAAGATTGCTAATTTTGCGAGAAAATTTTGAGCAGAGTATCTAAGAAAAGAAATAGGTGACTTCCTGATAGTAAAGGCAAGTCACAGCCATTATTGTCTGATGAAGAATGGGTATAGAAATTGGCCTCTGCTGTAGTCATAACCAGTCATTTATTTTTTCTGAACCTAAAACGGCAAGAGAGTGAAATCTAGTTTCTGATCTATACACCCACCTAAAGGCCTTTAGATACGAATTTGTCATGTTTTTGGAACAAGTACAGGCTAACAACTTGACACACTTAAGGCAGTGCAAGGTCTTTACGGCTGAAGAAACCACTGAGTTTGTATATATTTCTATATAAATTATATTTCGTTGGGGGGGGGGGGGGGCACGACCCTGAAGAGATGCCTTAAAGAAACTCTGGCCCCCGAACTGATATTTGATAGTTAATGCGGCCCTCGGGCTGAAAAGTTTGGAGACCCCTGGCCTAGATGAAATAATACACACGTTGTCTTGAGCTATACTAAACAACGATCAACTTTGATTGTGTTAGACGTATGTAGAAGTTAACCATCTTATATGAATTAAAGCAGGCTACATGTCAGAAAGAAGTATTACTATAGTAAATCTGTATCCGTCCTCACAAGCTGATAAATAAAACGGTAGAGTTTTAACTATTAACAAAATAAACTGTTAAATTAATTACACGATCATAATCAATGTTTATTTCAAGGAGATAAAAAAAAATCGCAGTAAGTCGTAACGATGGTAACGGTCGAATTTTCGCCGGAGAAAGTATGACGTTTTAAAATTGCATGCATGTGTATAGCAAAGTATCCATCGTGCATATGTAGGTAAAATTGTACACTCTTTGACGTATAATTACAGATACAACGTTTGAATGGATTTTCTATTGGTATTGGATTGTTGAAGCATTTAACCCCACCCCCCTAGTGATCAAAACTGTTCAGAAAATTAATGCAACATAAATTCTACTCGCATGTGTAATTAATATGTATTGTATTCTAGCCCCAGCCATTTGCTAGCTGAGAACAAAAGGAAAATGGATTACGACAGAGAGTATTTGGTTTACGCCTAGTTGCAAAATCTACTCGTATATCGCTATGTTCAATTTATGTAAAATTTTAAGTCTTTAACAGAAACTTCTTATAGGGATGAGATATATCACGATCATTGATAGTTTAATGTAAAATATATGACCTATCTGATATCATAAAGAACGTTTCTATGGTATTACCAAGTCTATTAAGCTATTTTCTACACTTAAATGTCCAGCAGATAATATCAGTTCGATAAGTAACATGGACCCTATTGTCTTGATAGTAATATCAGTAATAAAACCACATTATGGATGAGGGGTACAGAGGTAGAGGGCACTATTATCAACGTTCGGTACTAGAGTTCCGGTCTCCCCCATGTAAACACACATCAGGCATAAATACTATCATTTCTAAGTGTGAAAAACATGATGGAACTAGGATCATATATTCGATTCGGAAAGTTTTATTATCGTGTGTAGAATATTACAAATACAATCAATATATAAATCCGTATGTTTTGTTTGGTAAACATTGTTCTTCATATACAAGTATTTTATATACAATTATTTTTTATTTATTATGTTACTGTTTTTCTCTAAAGAATAATGAACAATAAAGCTAGAATCGATCTACTCATTATCGGGAAAACTGGAAATGGTAAAAGTGCGACAGGAAACAGCATCGTAAGAAAAACGAAATTTGCAAGCGGCCCTAGTACATCATCGTTAACCCAAAACATTGCCACCGCGATGACAGAATACAACGGTCGTCAGATAAGCGTCGTAGATGGTCTGACAATTTGTGATACCAGACTGGACGATGAGGGGTCAGCTGAGAAGTTAAACGAGGCCACCAACTTGGCTCTGGCAGTCAATCCTGACGGCTATCATGCTTTTCTTCTGGTCCTAAAATACGGCAATAGGTTTACACGTGAAGAACAGGAGTGGGTTGTGTTGTTAAAGAAAATATTCGGAGATGATTTTGTTCATAAATTTTGTATTTTAATCTTGACATGCGGAGATGTTTTTCATCAAGATCAGGAGGAAACAGGATTGGCCTTCTCAGAGTGGTGCCAAAAAGAAGATGGCGCCTTTAAGGTTTTTGCTCGAGGAGTGCTGCCATAGAGTGATTTTGTTTGACAACAAAACCAAAGACGAGTTGCAAATAACTGAACAAATCGACCAATTGATTCAAATGGCCTATGTGTTGGTGTTTCGTGATCGACGACATACAGAAGCAAATTATAAGAATGTCCAGAAAACTAAAGACCGCATCACCGAACCTTGAATACCTCGGATAACCGTCAAGACCGTGCCACCAGCGATCCCAAATGTTCATCCAAGACTAGTCACACCAAACGGTATTGATACATTAGACGTAATCCCACGCAACAGGATGCTGAGTCTAACTACATCCGTGCATGACACATTGGAAACACAGGAAGAATTTTCAGGGACTATTATTAAAAACATGGAATCTCCACAATCAAAGATTTCCGATGCAAAAGCTGAAATAAGGAAACGAATGCGACAACGGGAAGCAGAAAGGAGACGGATTATGTCTGAATTACAATTGGACAAGCCTACAGTAACATGAAAACCTGTGTGAAAGACGAGACTTAGAAAGTTATAAAAAAGAGGAAAGTGGATCAAAATTGCTGCTGAAGAGCATGCTGCAGTTACGGGAATCTATGATGCGTTTGTCCTATATGTAAATATTCAGATATCATTGATTTTCTAGATTTCAGACATTTCAGACATCGCAATGTCTTATGAATGTCTACCTACCACCTTTCAATGAAAAGAAATGTTATTTAAGTTATTATTATAAAATTTAAATTAAACATTGCAAACCAGCAATATTTAACATCTTATGTTATTAATATATTAATTAACTTAAGAGTTTTCTTTCATACCATCATTACATTGCATAAAAATTCAAAATATAATGTCGGCAATTTACATTCGTAAATCTTTGAGCACTTTTTACTAATTATTTTGCTCACAACAACTCCGACAGCAGGGGAAACCTAATTACTCGCGATCACACCTGACTAGTTGATACACAACACAAGATCAAACCTGACTAGTTGATACACAAGACAAGATCAAAGCTGACTAGTTGATACACAACACAAGATCAAACCTGATTAGTTGATACACATCACAATATCAAACCTGATTAGTTGATTAGTTGATACACTTTACAAGATCAAACCTAACTAGTTGATACACATCACAAGATCAAACCTGATTAGTTGATTAGTTGATACACTTTACAAGATCAAACCTGACTAGTTGATATACAACACAAGATCAAACCTGACTAGTAGATACACAACACAAAATCAAACCTGACTAGTTGATTTACAACACAAGATCAAACCTGACTAGTTGATACACAACACAAGATCAAACCTGATTAGTTGATACACATCACAATATCAAACCTGATTAGTTGATTAGTTGATACACTTTACAAGATCAAACCTAACTAGTTGATACACATCACAAGATCAAACCTGATTAGTTGATTAGTTGATACACTTTACAAGATCAAACCTGACTAGTTGATATACAACACAAGATCAAACCTGACTAGTAGATACACAACACAAAATCAAACCTGACTAGTTGATTTACAACACAAGATCAAACCTGACTAGTTGATACACAACACAAGATCAAATCTTACTAGTGGATACACAACACAAGATCAAACCTGACTAGTTGATACACAAGATCAAACCTGACTAGTTGATACACAACACAAGATCAAACCTGACTAGTTGATACACAACACAAGATCAAACCTGACTAGTTGATACACAAGATCAAACCTGACTAGTTGATACACAACACAAGATCAAACCTGACTAGTTTATACACATCACAAGATCAAACCTTACTAGTTGATACACAACACAAGATCAAACCTGACTAGTTGATAAACAACACAAGATCACACGATCAAACCTGACTAGTTGATGCACAACACAAGATCAAACCTGACTAGTTGATACACAACACAAGATCAAACCTGATTAGTTGATTAGTTGATACACTTTACAAGATCAAACCTGACTAGTTGATATACAACACAAGATCAAACCTGACTAGTAGATACACAACACAAAATCAAACCTGACTAGTTGATATACAACACAAGATCAAACCTGACTAGTTGATACACAACACAAGATCAAATCTTACTAGTGGATACACAACACAAGATCAAACCTGACTAGTTGATACACAACACAAGATCAAACCTGACTAGTTGATACATAGACTGGACAGAAGATGGAGAGTCTGGAAACCTGCAACCTTCTGTTACAATCAGCCTGCTTCTGTTGTTCTACTTGTGGATTGTTTGAACTGATTGACTGAGTGCTAGGCACTCTCTTATGTGTTAGTGTGGTTTTCCCACAACTGGCGCGCACATGAAGTCTTGTTACTAAACGTATTGTAGCTACAAATTAGATCAACAATGACACACTGCTGGTTAGTATTTTAAATGATTTGCTATTTTTATTTGTATTACATTTTACACCAACATCACTGCGAGCTTTTAAAGCCGGACCAAACAAGAATAGCCTACAAGTTTATGATTAAGTTTTCGCTCCATGTTTAGGGTTAAGATTGCACACTATATTTATGGTTAAGAATGCACAAAATATTTATGGTTAAAATTACACACCGTGTTTATGGTTAAGATTGCACACCGTGATTTTAAAAGTAAGCACTAGTTCTGATTTACGCGGTACGCGGAAATGAACGGTTGTATTCCATCATCTTGTCTACAAACAACATTTAAAGTGATATTAATAAGAAAATCCATATAAATTGCAAAAATTCGATCTGCCAGAGGTTTACACGGTAATAAAATACATATGTTAACTTTACAAACGATATTTGGTAATCTCACGATATAGATCTAGTGTCGGAAATTATCTGGTAATGTTTGTTGAGTTTCGGGTGCGGGGACCTTTGACCACAGGTGCTTTGACCATAGGGGGTTTGACCATAGGGGGTTTGACCACAGCGGAGCTTTTACCATAGGGGCTTTGACCATAGGGGGTTTGACCACAGCGGGGCTTTGACCATAGCGGTGCTTTGACCATAGGGGGTTTGATCATAGGGGGTTTGACCACAGGGGGTTTGACCACAGGTGTTTTCTCAGCAGAGGGTCTTTGATCACAGGTGGTCTATCAACTGGTGTTTGATCACAAGCGCTGTGTCCGGCTTTGATCATAGGTGTGATACAATTAACACGATTTTATACATGTTTCCTGAGAGTACGTTAATAGCAATTAACATGTATTTAAAAAAGCCAAGAACTATATTTTAGTCTCCATATAAAGGCTGGTGCTAGGCCTCATAGATTTATTTTAAATATAAATGAAACACAAATAATGCGACATATAACAAGTTTTACAAATAAATAATGCAGAAGTACTTGAAAATACATAGCATAAATAAAGGATAAAAATGATAAAAAACTTGCCAACAATATAGTCAAAGATGTAATACATAAAATGGTTAACTAAATGACAGATGTGCTATAGCACGCAAATATGTCAGTACATCTGTTTGACCATATTATTACATTATGTCGAAATTTAAAATATAATTTAGCAACTTTTAAAATAAATCCTTACCATATATGGACAGCATTGGACAAACCACCTGAGATCAAAGACCCTTTGTGGACAAAACACCTGAGATCAAAGACCCTTTGTGGACAAAACACATATGATCAAAGCCGGACACCGCGCTTGTGATCAAACACCAGTTGATAGACCACCTGTGATCAAAGACCCTCTGCTGAGAAAACACCTGTGGTCAAACCCCCTATGGTCAAACCCCCTATGATCAAACCCCCTATGGTCAAAGTACCGCTATGGTCAAAGCCCCGCTGTGGTCAAAGCCCCTATGGTCAAAGCTCCTATGGTCAAAGCTCCGCTGTGGTCAAACCCCCTATGGTCAAACCCCCTATGGTCAAAGCACCTGTGATCAAAGGTCCTAGGACCGAGTTTCGGGAACATTCGTTGCTGTAAACCATAGCTTATTTGACCGTTGAAATAAGAATAAAGTCAAGAGCATTGAACTAATGTTTAACTTAATTTAATGTTTAATTGACAGAAAATGAGCAACACTTAGTAAATCTAAATAGTATTAATAAAGTCAAGTGTAGTAATTAATCTCTTTTTAATAAAGAAACATAAAAAAACTTCCAGAAGATTTGCGACAACTGCATCTAGATTTAGTAAAATAAGACTAGAACAATGTTGAGTTGCAGCAATAAATAGCACACACACTTAAAATAAATAGAAATACAAAATAATTAGCAACACAGCATTTAAAATGCAATTAAAATCAATCCGTGTACATTTTAAAACATTATGTATTAAAAATAATATGGCGGCAAATAAATGATGTTTTACAGTATTTTCGGGTGTTTCCGGAACGGCTCGGCAGACTACGCCATGGTTTTACTGTTTTTTTTTACTGTTGTACAATTCCGGAATAATAACCGACGCTCTATCGTGATTTTACCCAATACTTAACATGAACAGATTTCTTATAGTTCATGCACCATGTAATTCAGACTTCTTCCAAACATCCAAAATTATTGAGTCATACCGTCCATCTAATCACTAATGGACGCGAGCGAGAAGGTATTCGAGAAGCCCATTGATTAATTTGAAAATCACGCAAGGCGTACTTACAATTAATATGATTATAAAATCCTGCCAGTCTCGTTTTTTTTTCGGACTTTACTGAAGATTGGATGTATTTGATGTTCTTAATTTTTTTCGGTAACTAAATAAAAAATAAAAAAAAAAGCAAAAACAGTTTGGTTTTCATGTGTAGAGGCGACAAAAACAATTTCATCCTGCTATTCGATAGGCTGCCATAGAATTTAGTATACACATTGTACGCGAAAACAAAGGAAAACTATGTCATGGGGTTTAAATTTGCATTGTATTTTTAAAAACTGTTTCTGCAAAGTTTTGTAAACATATAGTTATCGATCACGGAGACAATATTTGTCTTACGAAAGTAAAACATCCGGTTATAACTAAGGCTTAATGAAAATAAATAAAAATGTAGCCTTAAAC